CAAATAATCACCTATAACTCCCATAGTACTTCGTCTAGGATGATAATTTTGGTGTCTAACCAGATGCTTTAGGGGTCAAGGAATACACTCAAATCGTTTATTATGCCATGGAGTGAGTAGGTGATAGTGAAATCCAAAATGCCAGACATTATGTCCCTTTAGTGGCGGTTGGAGTTGATTATTTCACCAAACCAAACTATATCTAGAAGCAAACTATATATTTCTAGACATGGGAGCATATGAGTGATACAATAAGTAGGTGATAGTGAAATCCAAAATGCCAGACATTATGTCCCTTTAGTGGTGGTTAGAGTTGATTATTTCACCAAACCAAACTATATCTAGAAGCAAACTATATATTTCTAGACATGGGAGCATACAAGTGATACAATAACACCACATACATGCCTATCAGGGGCTCCACAGCCACATGGTTGGCCCTGAACAGGGGGGGGGGGGCACTAGCTGTTTTTTGAACATTCAAAAAAGAAAAGAAAAAAGATTCTACCTGGAAATTGCGAATATAACCGCCACCAAACTAGGTAATATTTAGTTTAATCCCTTAGTCTGGTTTCTGTCTGCAACCTGCGACAGCACAAGCGCAAGATACTATATATTCTAGGCTAACCCTTGTACAGCTACAAGCACGCGTACTACATGAGTGTCACTCTTGCATCCACATCTGATGAGCCACATGACAGACCCCTGAGCATGTTGGCCAGGTGTAATGTTCTCAATTTAGTATTGTTCACCCAGCAATACAGTTCCGGATCAAGTTCAATTTTGCCGACGGGACATTCCAGATTTATTATTATTCATTCTAAATTATGTAATTCAAAATCTGACCTAAATTATCATAAATACATCATGCACGTATCTGATGACCCATCCTGTTTATGCGGAAACAAATGTGGATCTATCAAACATTATTTCTTTCATTGAATTTCTATGGACCAACGCAGGCTCACCATTTAACAATCTGATTAAAATTATAGATCTATATTTCATTTCGTTTTTTTTATACTTTCGATGGCCTCTACTACATGTAGATCTGATCGCTTGTAGTGGAAGGTCAGGTCAGATATCTTACGAGCGGCTTTTGACCCTATGATGTCAGACATTTGATTAACCAATCAGTGTTGATGTTTCTAGTGGGTTACCCACAGTTCTGTGCACCTCACGCCAAAAACTCGCCATAACAGACCGTTTCATTGGCTAATCTCTCAAATCATCCAGAGCTGGGGTTATATAACAACTCTTCCAAATCCTAGTGTAGTAAAGACAAGTAATGCGAAATTTTGAACTATAAAAAACGAAACAAAATAAGATCTGTGTTTTAATCAGATTGATCATCAAAACATTGGACAGCCATTACAAGAATATTAATTCACATTTACTTGGGAATGACAATCTCTCTATAAAAAATAATATCTCTATACTCTCAGTCGCCCACAAATATATAGCTCTTAACTAAGAGCTTCAAATCTCCTAAATGAAGGCATTTTTCATTCTTTACAAATATTTTCATATATGCGAATAACGTTTACTAGTAGTTAGATCACCTAATGCCCCACTTTGCATAATCCATAGGTAACCCACTGACTCTTAGTTTCACGTGAGAAATGTGTATATTAAAATACCAATCAACTATTCTTGACCAATTTTTGGTGTATATTGTTCCCTTTTTTTGTGTTGGTTTTATGGCGTCGTGTCCCAAGCCTCTTTCTATTTCAAATTTCTATCCAAATTTTTTTTTCCCCCTCCTCAATATTTATGTCTCCACCATCTACTTTTTTTTTTGTTTCTTATCATTTATTTTTTATTTTAACACCTTTTCTTCATACCACACTTAACTTAAACCCTAATATAGATAATCATTCTTATTTTGTTATATTACCAGCTGATCATTAAAATTATATTCATATCACCCAGCACCCTATTCCAGTAGCAGTTCAATATAAACATTAAGTTGATAGTTAATGTATCCAATTATTCATATTATTCCATTTATGATTGAAATCTGTTTAAACTATATCTTGCAATTTTTTTATGCTTTGTAAAAATAAAAGCTTTATTGTTTATTCACTGATACATTGGCAGTCCAATATCCATAATGTATAGAATGTTTCCATACTGTATATTAGTAATAGTAAACTGCATCCTTGGTATCCCCAATGTACTCATTCCGTTCTACTCCACTATACCCTGGGTTCAGCCATAGGGTTTCCACGATTTCAAATTATCTGCCCTGGCCTTGATTGTAGATAAAGTCTACGAACCAATCAAAAAACAGTTTAAAAACCAGTCGTTTGATAAGGCTAGATATCCATATTCATGTCCATTTACTGAATGATTTATGTAAATAATGTATATATTTCTAATTCATTTATATTTTATTGTATTATCAAAATCTGTAGTATGTTTCACCGATTTCAAATATGTACAACATCTATATGTTTGACTTTTGTTATTATTACTATTTGGTCTTTGTCTTAATTATTTCATTCTGTTATGTTTATTATCATTGAACTTATAACTGGCAATTTGATTCTAAATAAAACTCCTGATCCAACATATACATAAACATTATCATTGAATTTATACCTGGCAATTTGATTCTCAATAAAACTCTTGAACCTACATATATATATAAACACCTCTCCGGTATTCATTAATATATTACAAAATAAATATGCATTTAGTATAATTTGGACGTCTCTCATTTAGTCTACCTTCTGGCTAATTCCTAACCTTGTCTCTTGAAGGGGAGCCTTTGCGTTTTGCTTACTTTATCCGATGCCAACTTCTTTTGCAATTAACGATTTATGGGATTGGTCGATAAAAATAGCACAATCATCAAGGGCAGAATACTTGAAAACGTATCCCTCTCTCCCCCCAGATTAACCCGGGGGTTAGTGGAGTAGAACGGAATGAGACCACAGGAGATACCGTGGATGAGTAAACTGTGGTGAAGGGGAAAAAGGAAACACAAGTGAAATAGTTATTTCACAATTTAAGAAAGATATGATATGATCAGAGAACTGCACTACATACAGAAATCACAAGATAAACATCACTTAAAGATACATTATGGGAGATTTTTATAGAGAGTTGGCCATTCTTGCTATAACAGTTCAAAAGTAGATGATGAAAGAAGAATATATTGAAAAATTCAGTCAAATTACTTTATTCTGAACATAGTTATCATCGTTGTAATATTTGCCTAGAAATGGTAGCGAAATGTGTCTTCACCTTCGCCGATCGTTTGATTGACAGGCGTTAACTCCACCTACATATCTCGATTATCAAGTAAAGTTTTCAATGGCATACGGAAACGCTTTACAGCGGCCTCGCTAAGTACACTCTATCATTTAGCCTCGATCTAACTGACGTATTTTCATCAGGTTATCCCTTATTTGATTTAATCAATTAGTGAAATCCTATTTAAATCCGAGCTGTAGCCGAGCCATCCGTGGGTCTACAGAGTTGATTTTGGTCTTGTTGTTTAAATAAAGATCTAATTTATAATTTCTATAACATCTGAAGCCTAAATTAAGACTTGCAATAATCAGATTTAGCTCTTGCATAATGCATGTTTAAAAAACGGACATTGTAAGCCATACAGAACTATAAATCCAAATGAGTGGATGTGGTGAACCAGCCATTCTCTCTTTAATATTTCCTACAGAGAAATACATCTTTTTCTCGTACATTTTGAGAATTCTTCACAGGCATAAATTATATCAGAATCACCTACAGAGACTTGGCCTATTTAAAATACTTTCCTTCCTTTTTTTATGGATGTCTACATGTGATATGAAGTATTAACCACTTGATGAATTTGTTTTTAGGTTATGAATAAATGAAATGCATTTACAACTTTGGTGGTTTTCTTAAAATCGGAATGAATGCAATTTTTTTATTTTGCTTCATTGAAACTAAAAAAATATTACATTGTAATTGTATTTGTACAGATTCTCTGTATTTATCTACTGTGTTTTTAATACCTACCTCAAACACGTTGGATATTGTAACTTCATCAACAGAATCCTGCTGAGATTCCCCGTCCATATTAGGACCAAGAACCATTTCAGATTTGTAGGATTTAATCTCACACATTGAAAATATTACTCAGCATTATTGTCCACACGAAAGATTTCAGTCCAAATGTATGTTTATATGTACATGCATACTCCATATTGCCTAACTACACTTGCAATATCCATTATTCAATATTAGAGTTCTCCAATCAATATGCACTTTAATAACCTGCTGGTTTTAATGAATTTAATAAAATTGAAACAATAAAGAGTAACACAAAGTAATCCGTTCACTTCTTGAGATAGTGTTCAAATATAAAAAAACAAAAAAAACAATCAACGTTGAATTGCTAAATTACAACATACACTTGCAAATTTTCCTTGCTATAAAATCAAGATAATCCTTCATCCAACAGCCTGACACTTTTAGGTAGGAATCCAATAATACCAAGGTGACAGGTTTTAATGATATGTCTGCTTATTATGCTGCTTACTATGAATAGAAATGAATACAGCCAGGCTTGCAAGAAAAAAAACTACATATTGTTCTTAATAAATTTCAAAATTGGTTCCATATTTGAGTGTACTGATTATTATAATGCTTCCAATATTATGTAGGTTTTTCTGGTATTCATCAGACGGCAACAATAACAAAACTCAAATCTTACACAACTGGTAGCAATCACAAATATATGTTTCTGTACATAGTAAACTGCAAGCTACAAGTTTGTTATAAATCTACTAAATCCAGCTACCGCCTGGCCTAATTTTACACCTTTTGTACAGTATAAATAAATGTCCTTATATACTGCTAACTGATCTTATAAAAGTCTTGTCTATTGAACAAATTACGCCCATCAGCCTACAGGCAAAAATAGATATTTCTATTTCAAATCCAACGAATCATATCACAAATTGTATGAATGCACGTGTAATGCTTGTTTAAATAAGGCAGAGAGAGAAAACATTGGTCTAGAAAGGAAAACGGTGATATAGCAGTACAATATTGATAACCTTGCTTCAAGTAAGGTATCCAGGTAATAGAAGCCTACCAGGTATAAATAATGTGTAAAATATGGTAATAAAAGGATAATAAATGATTAATCAATGACTTTTTGTTGGAAGTTTAGGCCAACTTAATAGACAGAAATATAACTGGCTACTCCCATGAAAACGAATATATTTCAGTTCACTTGAGTGGGAATGTCTTAATAAAGATTTCTGAAATCACCAAATCATACCGTTGAGGCGTTGACATTTAAGAACTTCCTCCACTTATGTCAAACATGTAATTCCAATAAAACTGTAAACTGTCACATTGTCAACGGAGGTCTTATTTTTAGCACCAAGGTCAAGGTTTTCAGTTGTAAGTCCAGAACTGTTTTTCATAGAACTAAAATATTCCATAAAAGTCTATTTGGATAATCAGCAATGAAAATTGAGTGTTGATTTTATACTATTGATTTTTTTTTCTACCTATGCAGCTACTAACATGATAAATAGTTCAGCCATTTCTAACTCAATAAGCTGCCTGCTTCCGTTTAGTCGTTGAATTAAGGTGAATAACAACAGGTAGAGAAGGTTGACACAAAACACTCACTGATAACTGATCCATTTGTACATACTACATTCCCATCTTGTGCCAATTCTAGTCCTGGATTACAATAACCATGATACAAGTTGCATTTAGAGATTGTTAAACTAATACTATATGACTGAGTACATATGCACAGCTGTGGTAGCTATGAAAACTCTACCTACATTCATACTGAACAATACAAATAGCTAGCACACTTTATCGTATATTGTTTTATATCTCTAATATTCATTAATATTTTGATAATTATCACATGTCATGTCATGGAACTTCACAAAAATACTTCCTCTATAAACAGCAGATCCACGCACATGTGTCATTAGTATTATATGTTACACAGCAGGCTACTATATAACTGTAACAATTATTGAAATACTAATCCGCTACTGTGCCTAGCTACCTGTATAGAATCTCCAACAATTTATATCTGAGTATAATACATCTCTGTTAAAAACAGGTATTGTACAAGTTTGATGAAAATGTCATAAACTGTTGACTAACCATGTGTGACATGTATATTAGCTTTCTATAGGTTGTCTACTACACATGTATAATAGCTTCCCTATAACATATCGTGTCGGTAACGATCAGTACGCCAACCCAATCTATATACCTGCTTTATTGACAAATCTTTAGTAGGCTTTTAAAGGTAAATTATCACAGTGTTATGTTCCTATAAAATAATATCAATTAATAACTCCCACAGATCAGGTTTAAATGTTCTATTCTGTGTTAATGACAAATTATACAGAGAGGTAGACACTTGGTCTAGTTATGAGAGTTAGAAACAAGATCACTTCAGGACTAACATATACCTCTTTCTTTATTTCGATAGTTTGCTGGGCCGAGAGGAAACCGAAGAACTCAGAGAAAACATGCAACTATAATCCTTGTCAGGTAAAATCTAAGGATCGATCTAGTGCATCCATGGACCATTAATTGACCATCCTTAACTCTGAATGTGCCACTAGACCATTCAACATTTTAAACTTATAAAACAGAATTCAATCCTGAGTTTTAGAATTTAGGTGTTAAGTTTTTTGAGGATGTGGGGAATTTTTATAGGCATGATATCATACCCTACAATGTACTATTAGACATATGTATAATGCATACACTTTTTAGTCAGGGCCCTGTTTCTCAAAATCTTAACTAAAGATAAAATCCAAATTTTAGTAGATGCTTCAATTTTGATTGGCTAAGCACTAAAATCAATCTATAATTTATCCAATCAAATTACTAATATTTGGATTTTATCTTAGTTAAAATTTGTGAAACAAGCCACAGATCAACTATCAAAACACAAAGACAAACAAATAAAAAATAAAAATAAATCTTTTTGTCTGGGTCAGTTATTTAAATCCACCATGTATAAAATAAATTGACAGAATTCTACATTCTTCAGATATCAAACAAAAATAGCCAATCACAATCCATATAAAAATCTATATTGGTGCTATGGAAACAACAACTTTTAACAATGATAGTTTGATATAACACCAAATCATATTTTATCACTTACTTTTTTTAACTGATATCAAGGGGAAAAAGGCCACAGTTATCGTTCTATTAAAGACCTAATCTACTAGAATTTTAGGCCAAGCACATGTCACATTCTTTTTTAATTATCTGTCGACCACTGACCGATAAATTGTTTCTATCTATGAACATCAAGGCCAACAAGGTATCTAACCGAGGTTTCTTGTTTTATTTATACTACTATCTTGTCCCAGTATTGGGTTAAATTTAAAATAAGGAAATGTTTACTCTCCTTCTGCTGCAATATGGCTTTACAAGGTGCTTTAGGCAATACAAATTTTAATGTATTCTTTTTCTCACTGTAAACATATTCTTTTTCTCATTGTAAACCTTTTCTTTTTCTTATTGTAAACATGTTAATTTTCTCATTGGAAACCTATCTTTTTTTTTCTTGCTGTATACATATTCTTTTTCTCATTGTAAACCTATTCTTTTTCTCATTGTAAACCTTCCCTTTTTCTTGTAAATCTATTCAATTTCAAGCAGAATGAATTGATTGAGTTTTTTTGTTTTTAATTAATTAATTTCACATACCAAAAATAAGTAAAAGTTTTCAAGTTACTTTTCCCGCAGCCAAACCATGATTGTGTTGTATGTAATTAAGATATTTCCATTAGTTTGACAATTATTTGTATGGAAATATGTTCTCATTTCACTTTTTACATCACATTACCATTTGCAATTAATAAATGATCTGGTTTTTACTAATTTTGTAATGCAATATACCTGAAGCACTTTTAAGATATATTTTAACACTTAACACTGTAAGTCTTTCAAATGAAATTCCATATTATTTCAGCCCTGTTTATACATGTATATATGAAGAGGAATATATATGGTTTTCTGTTGACTTCGCTCTGAATGGAAAGTTTTATGATAAAAAGTGTTTTTATTGAGGTAGTAAAATATATATGGCTATGTTCCAAATAAACTCACTATAGTGTGTATAAAGAGGTTTAGTTCAAATATTTGACTTGATTTTAGTGAAGAGAAGAAAGTAGAAAGTAAAGACTAATTGTCTACTTGTAGAAGAGATGAATGGTTATATTAGTCGAGAGGAGAAGAGTATCTGACAACACAGTTCGTCAACACATATAATTACAAGAAATACTCAAAACACTCTGCCAACATGCATCAAAACATGAGTGAACTACATTTTATTATGTAGATCTGAGCAGAACTATTATTATAACAAAAAGAAATTATATAAGACATTCATTACAATACTGGACCAATAGCGCAGAAAATATTGAGCAGTTCAAAAAGAAATCATATAGAATGCATATTCTATTTACTGTTGCCTTCTTCAGATAATATTTCAGCCTTCGAGGTCACAAGCAAAACACAGAAAAACAAATTCCTTAAAATAGAGTGTATCGATTTTATTACATGGAATATGCTTAGTCTTTTAGTGAAAAATAATAGATTTTGTTATGGTATATCACGTAATATGATCAAGAATAGCAAGATTATTTTTACTCTGATTTAAATAAAATCATCAATCACAGCAGTCAATGATCCCCAACTGTCATTTCAAAATTACAAACCGATCAATATTGTGAAAATTAGTCCAAACTATATATATAATTCCTATGTTATTATACGACTAGTCCTAATTACTGGTATTTTGTTTTTATTTCGTTAATAACTATTTTGAAATTTGAGTCAACCTAGGAAGCTGGGACCAGCAATATTCAAAGTGTGAATGTAGATGTAGCTTCTCCCTGCAGCTAATGAGAGATCAAATGGTAATAGAACAGTAATCAACTTTGCTTTGTAGTAGTTTGCAACTTCACCATTGGTCCAAGAATGAAAGCTGTATTTTCAATGTATTTTTAGAATTTTTATCAACATTCAGATGACTGGGAAGCAATCTAGGTAATAAAATATAAATACATAAATAATTATCTGATAATATTCAAGTCTTCGCATTTACCAGTATAATTCTATATACATGTGCTAGGGTGCCCCATGGAGCCAAAACTTTCCCTACTGAAAGTTGAACTCCACACAGCGAATGTGCACGCTTCAGTGGTTTGTCATGAAGTGATTTCTGGCTATTCACGCAGTGCGATAACTCTCAGCTCAAGAGTCCACGAGTCTATAAATAGCCATCGCACATGCAATTCTCTACAAATCTATCAACTATTACAAAGGTAAAAAATCTATTGTTGACGATTCGGAATAGCAGTAATATTTAGCTTATTGGTTATTACAGCAGCTTTGGCTTTAGAAATTTTTTATTTTTTAAATTGCTTTTATCATTAATTATACCGTTAGGAGTGACATCTTTTGGTTTAGTACAAATAATATCTCTGAAACATTCGGGTTAGGCAAGAACATGATATTAGCAGTTGTTTCATTTTACTTTTACAAGGTTCTTAAAACAATTGTTGAGTTGCCTAACATGCATGTTTTTAAATTCAATTTCTTGTTCCAGCTTTCTGTTATGTTTCGTAAAAAAGTAGTCTTGATTATCCCAGCCTGTTAATCAGACAGAGAATGGTCAGTAGACTGGTTAAGCGAGACTAATTTCAAAACAAGGGCACGTAATCTTTTACTCAAAAGTGCCCGGATGTTATGGCTGACACTCGTAACGATTTTTCAGTCTATTATTTATTGATAGTTAAATGGTCATAGCTTATTAAGTACAAAATGACTGTTTATCTAGTGACTATATAAATGTGCGAAACTGATTTAAGGCATTTCGCACATTTATATAGTCACTAGATAAACAGTCATGTTGTACTTAATAATATATATATATATATATATATATATATATATATATATATATATATTGTTTACAATTACAAATAAAACAGAATACACAAGACAGCCCACTTGTTGTACCCATTAAAAGACACAACATGGGTATAATAATTATTTATTCAGTAAAAATAATTACAATAAAAATGAATACATGTATATATTATAAAAAAATAACATTAATGTGTGATTATAAGTAAAATTGAAGCAGTTTTATTGCAAACAGAGTGGAGCATTATCAAATATGAGCAATATATAATGTAAATATTGTTTTTATCAAAATTGAGACAGATATGGCAATTTGGTACATGTAAATGCCCATGAAAATACTGTCCCGAGATCACATGAGTGTGTAGTTAAGATGAAATGTTGAATGACCTTTTCAGTGCCAGTCTTAGGATATTTCGGATTTTGTGCAGAGTACAACTAATGTACAGTCCACCCATTGCTTTTGCAATGCTACTCATTATATTTTGGTAGAATTTAACTACATAAGTCTATCTGTAACAGAGAATGTCAGCATAGGAATAGCATATTTCAGTTTATTCATTACTGGGATATTCAACAAAAATAAAAACACAAACTAATTTTTGTAAATCAAAAAGAAAAAAAATATGGGCTGAGAAAGGTTCAAATTTAGTTAAGATGCTGAATTGCTAATGGTAAATCTCTGTATAATTTTGGGTTCCCCATAGTTGCGGGCCCCTAAGGCCGAAAATGTCTTTTTGCGAAAAATGGCTATTGTTATTATCATTATTTCTTCATGTTTATTTTACTTGATCAGAACAGTTTTGGACACAGATCGAGTTTAAGAGATATAGGGGGAATAACTCTTGATATGATTGCTTTCAGATGAACCCTTTGCTTGGGAATATAAATTAAACTGCATAAAAAACATGCTTATTTTATTCTACAATCTACAATATTTAAAATTTATTTGCATTTAACAATTAAGGTGACAGCTATATGAACTGTTTGACATAAAATATATAGGCAGCTAAAACACATTAATAAAAACCCTTCACATAAAACAATAAGCTTATACTTAACATTAAAGGGCGTTGACTAGTCTAAGACACGCACTTACTTTTCAATACCAATCCTATTAAGATTTTGCATACTTGGTCCATGTGTAAAATAACCAGAGGACACATAATGGAAGTACAAGTGGAAAGAAAAAACTATTTATAGTAAAGTAGGTTTCCCCGACCCTATCAGTTCTTGAATAAATTATGATGTCAGACACATCCGTGACGGGATCCTCAGTTAAAAAATCATGGCTTCCTCTAGCAACAGTTTCACACTGGACCATCATATCTATATATCATCATCATATCTATATATGATGTCAGAAGGAATTCCCCTACGACACGATTTATCGAGGTCTACCATCTATCATGACTAAGACATCGCTAAATTTCTATTTTGATGGTTGAAGACTACCATTTTATGATCTATAAAATGATTTTGAGAGCGGCGGTGTAGTGCACTGAAGTAATTTACTTTTTACATCCAGATTATTGATACCTCTTTTTAGAATTCTAGAATTTCCAAGAAAACTCATCATTTTTTTGCATTTCCATGGATACCAGACAAACCACGGTCTATAGCCAAAAAGTGTCCCTTACGCTTCTTGCATTGCATTTAGCATTGTTCATGCTAAATTTGATGAAAATCCATGCAGGCATAACGAGAAAATTTGACTTTTGTTGTCATCAGTACCTTTATTTTCATGCTTTTGGGTCAAGTTTGGAACACAGTTGGTAAATAAAATTGGTATTTTTGGAGGGATTAATATGTAGTTTATCACCCCAAATAGCAAAAAATGTCATATCTTATGGACAAAACTTAAGAGTGTTAGCTTTAAAATATACATTTTAGAGTACTCAACGCCCTTAATAAACAAAAACAATTAAAGCTTTGCATTTATAAATATAACTTGTGATTTGCATAACATGTAGGTTTCATTTACAGATGTATCATCGTCATAAACAAAATAGACAATTAAACAACAATAATTTCAATGATAACACTCTGAATTTCCCTTTATCCTTAAATGTGAAGCTGAATAAAAAAAGAAAATTAAAGTCTCTGAGCTGATTTAAGCAATACAGAAATACCCTTCAAAGTAGGTGTTGTGGAAATTGAATCTCTAACAGGAATATCATTCCAAAAATGGTTAAATTCAGTTTAGTATTTACAAAGATATGATGAATTAAAATTTCATTGATCTATGCTGCACCACCACCATCTTAATGTTTTTCGAATTCTAATTGATGGGCCTCTTTTTAATCCTACTGAATCCAACCCAGAAGATTATCTAGCTCTGATATTTTGATTTTGTTTTCTTAATTATATGTTAAATAATAAATCTGAGGGATTCAATATTTTCAGAAAAATGCAAATCATACTCAGTTACTTTCAATCTATTTTTATTCGGTTTTGTCAAATTACATTTTCTTAATGATGCATAATGAGTTTTCTTTGGTCATTATTTTCATTGACAACAAATTTAAATTAGGTTAGAGGAATTATAAGGAGGTCTGGGGGTCTATGTTGGTAGAATTATAGTTATTTGTGTCATGGGGAGAAGAGGATTCAACATTCCAGGTACGGACGGGACTAGATGGTGTAATACATGAATCTTCTACAGGACGGACATACAATGAATCATCACTGGGACTGGTAGGTACACTCACACTACTACAACAACCAGCCTAAAGAAGGAATTAACTCAAAATAATATCACAACAAAAGCAAACAGTATTACAAAAATATTTTGACTGTTGTTAATTTCTTGAAATGAAACATTTCATCCAGTAATTTTTGATATTTTTTGCCAATAAGATTATTAAGATATTCATTTAAAAGATGTAAATTTCGCTCAAGATACATAATGGCTTTATTATAACAGTATAATGTAGCTATGTCTATAATAAGCTAAATGTGCAACAGATGCTTTTACTATTAAAATGCAACAAACATTTAAATGAGCAGAAACATGCATTCTTCAGCATTCAAGTGTATATAATAATATAAAAATTCTAACAACATACATGCCTGTATACTCTTCTTGAAAGTGACTTAAACAGCTCACAAATACATTCATAAAGATGACTTTTATCTTTCTGTTCACCATAAAATTTATTCTTTTAAATGTATTTTATAAATATATTAACAGTGGTATGATATTGCTATGGCCCAAGGTAGATACTTATACTTTCATGGTTTAGAAATTTCAATAATTTTATCGTTACTAAACTACATAGATTCTATTTTAAAATACTTTGTGAACATTATATGTTCATGCATTATTTCAAACTTTGCCATTTCAATGAATAAATTTGAAAACACTTCAATAAATTATAATTTATTACTTGCTGCTGTGTAAAAATCCATATAAAAATATTTTATTTACTCAGCTCTGTTTAATACAATATTTCTCTACTCCTACATCAGTGTTTGGTTGAACGAATAAATCAATATTAAAACTACATAATAATCATACCACGTTATTAAATAAATGAATCATACGAGCGTACTTGTAGATGTACATACAGACAACCTAGTACATATAATATAATATGTTTTACATCAATCGTCCAAGCTGTATTTTGTGTAAGACAAACCTGATAATATGCATTGCATGCCTTACTTCAACTTTTTTGCGTTTCCATGAACAAATTTTTGTTTTGTCTATCATTACATCATTTAGTTTAGTTTTTGCATCATCGGTTAATTTACATATTTTTTTAAACTATAATACATTCATCTATACATACAATTATTTCATATAATTTCAAATCATATCATATAATTTCGGTCGAAACACCTTTTGTTTCTGTAAATGTTTTTAGTATTTTTTTTTTTGAGAGAGAGAGAGAGAGAGAGAGAGAGAGAGATAGAGAGCGGGGTGGGGTGGATTATTTAGTCAGTTTGTGAAGTCAAAACTGTACATGGTGCAAACATTCTGCCAAAGTAGATGTGGTTGGCGTCGGTTATATCTAGGTTATTTCTCTAGGAATCTTCTTCAGATTTTCATTTTTGGATTCTTTGGACGAATCCCATATGGGCTCTGACTGACAGTTTTTAATTCAGAAGTTTGCTTGATTAATATTAGCATCAAAGATTTGTGAAAGTTTTTTTCGTCATTTTTTCGACATTCAAGATGGCATATCTCTGTCACTATTTGAGGTATCAAGTTGAAACTTGGTAGGAATAAGGAACACATCAATGCCTTTAAAATAGCATATCAAAACATTTTGTGACGGCTTCCGAAAACTTCCAGAAATTACCGAGGCCTTCCGATTTTTCCCGAACATGAGAGAGAGAGAAATGGGGTTTAACGTCCACTCGACACAAACTAGGCCATTTCGGGACTACCATATGGTTTAATTTTATTTCAATAATTCGCTTGCGCGTAGGGGTCTTTAGCAGTGGGAGGAAACCGGAGGACCCGGAGAAAACCCACGAGGTTGGACAGGCGACCCTACTCCTTGTCATGTACAACCGGGGATTCGAAACCACGCCAGTCGACTCAATGACAGACCTTATGATACAGCGCGCGCACGCTAACCATTCAGCCATCCAACGCCCCCTTACCCAAACATAAATAGTTCTATTTTAAAAATAGACAAAAAATGACACATGGTGGTGTTAGCCCCAGATATTATCTTTCATTTTCAAAGACCTTGTTCGATAACATTTTCAACTGCTTGGCTGCCATATTGGATTTTACAAAAAAAACCCATTCAAAATCGATATTCAGCCGCCATTTTAATTCCAATTTTCAAAAACTTTTTTCTTGTATTGAACCTACACCAAATGGCAACAATCCTTAGGGAGCCGTTTTTTTAATTTCAATTTTGTTTACTTTCGGTTTCACTTTGAAGTTTGTTCGACTTTTCACCATCTAGATGGAGACCTAATCTGTCCATGACTCAATAATTTATGGTGTAACTTGAATGTTGATGTGACAAGGCGTGACGTGACGTGACATACCGAAACACGCCAGTACATGTTATATTTCTAAAATTGTTTGCAGGGGATAGTTACTTCTGTCATTCTAAAAGAGTACTACTTTATTGTTATACATGTATGTAACTGTAAGTATATTTAGCTTGGCCTTCCCCTAAAATGTGTTATCTCCCCTTAAAGAGGTTAGAGTGTTGATATAATGGCAACTTCTTCAATACATTTTAAGGGAAAGCGCTTAAGCTCTATAGCTACTCTGTGTAGTTCAAATAATTAAGTAACAATAATTTGGTTATTTCTGTTTTGTTTGGATATGCGGTAAAAAATTCATTTATTGAGTATTTTCTCATTAGTTTTAAAAATTTACAGTTCTAAGGTTTTGTATCTATCGCAGGTAGGAATAGTTGCTTCTAGTTTTAATTTATATACGTAATACTTAAACAAGAATATTATTTGATTTACAAAAGTCCATTTGTGAATATTATCAAAAACTGATTTATCTAGGCATCCAAGGTGAATTTCCTGGTGTGTTATAGTTATGTTAATATTTGCTTTTTTAATAATTTCATACACTTCATTCCATATCCGTTGCGTGTAATTACATATAAATAAACAATTCACAGTTTCAATATCTGAAAGACAGAAAGAATACAGAGTTGATTCTGTCATTCTTAATTTACAAAGTAATGTGTGTAAATTTTTCTATGGATGTACTTATATTGGAAGTTCTGTAATTTAGAATTAATATTTACATGTTGAGCTAATATGAACATCATTTTTATTGATTTTCACTAAATTGGTTTATATTTAGTTCCTCCTCCCATTTAGTAATCAATTTTGCTTTTTCGTACTTAGCTAAAATCATGTGGTTATAAATGTCTCATAGCAGTTATAGATTTTAAATCTTTTTTATATTATGCTTTCAAATTTTGGTTGATGTCATCTATAGCTTTGTTATAAGTTCGAATAGGTGTGTCATTTAGATTCACTTGGGTTTAAGGAATTTTCTAAAGACTAACGCTATTATTTACATAAAACTGGTCATTCCCATCTTTTATATAAAACTTTGCTTTATTTCCGATAAATTCATGTAAGTAGATTATATACTAACAGTTTCCTCATACCTATGGTTATAGATATTTTTTATATTTTTATTGTTACAAACTAGCTGATTTTTAAAAGATCGATCTTTTGTGTATAAATCTTGTGCCAGTTACTAAAGTTTCCTGATAAAACGGCAATAAAATTTTTAATTCAGATTTGTAATTACATGTACATGCTGGTAGAATATCACCACCATACTTATCTGCTATAAAATCAAAGGTGGTTTTCCAAGTTTGTCTGCGATATCACCTCGGTGGAAGCGGACGTAAAATACAACTAACACTAACTAACTAACTCCAAGTTTGTAGCCAGGGCGAATATCTTTTTTAAACAAAAGATGCTCCTGGCTGTCATCATTTCTTGAAGACTAATCATGTTCAAACCGCCAAATTCTATTTTTTGACTAATCATATTCCTTTTAATTTTATCCGGACCATTCCATAAGAAATTGATAGACAAAAGGTTTAATAACCTGGATTTAACCTATTAATGTAAGGTTTCTTTTCTTAATATTCTTTCTATATCATCTACTTGGGGTTCAAAATTTTCTCTATGGGTGGTTTTTGACAAAAATATCCTTTGAAAAGACTATTCCTAATATTCTGATGTTATTTTTACAAATGAAACCAATACTTGCCACATCTGTTTGAAAATCCAAATTTACTTTTTTGGCAATATGAGGTGGTTTTTTTTTTATCCCAGCGATGATAAGCTTATATCAATTAAAGATATATCAATTAAATTCAGCCTACCAAAAGAATATGGTAACTTGAATTTTTTTGATTTTAAATAAAATTGCACATTGAGAAGTATGCAATAAACATATAGCAAAAGCAATTATTAAAATTTTCTACCCTCAGTAATCAGTCATCGATTAAATACACAATTCACATCTAATTATACAACTGTTTACTATATAATTCTAATTCATTTCAGGGACAATCAGTATAAGATTATAAATGTGTTTATTTATTTAGCATAAAGTCAACCTATCTATATCTTAAAATGTTCATAATTTCTGATTAGGTCAATTTAGAGATTTAACATAAATATGTTCTAATTGTCTACATTTCAAGTAAATAATGAAATGTATAATTGATAAATGTCCAGGTAACTTTATTGCTAGCTAACTTTTCAATAATGACTATTTATTAAGAATACATGCATTGATCTTGTTCCTTCAAATAAACATCCTATATGATGGTTAAACTTGTATGGTGATAACACTAACAACACTTATATAAAAAGGCTTGCAAAATATTTAATATCTAATATAGTATTTAGGATGCCTTTCTTCCAGTTTACATGAAGTTAAACTCTACAAAAATAGATTCACATGCTACATAATAATATGATAATGTGATTCATGCCTGTAAATTTATATGTAGTCCTGAACTGTCTCATAAAACAATCAGATTGCTGATTAATTATAATACTCTTTTCATACATTAGTTACCTTCATATACTTGTTTATAACTTGACTGAAAACGTGACAGGAGGAAGGCAGAATAATTTGCACTTCTCAATAAACAGTACAGTATATCACACTGACACAATTTAGAGATGTAATATGCACCTTTTGATTGGATGTTACTTGTAATGTTAACACATATCGTTACTGATGACATCCAAAGGATAGGTTTAATGATTTGTAAACAAGTGTGTAGATCTCATAATTTTGAGATAAACCCCCAAAACCTAAAATTTGTTTTTCAGTGTCATAAATCTGAGATTGTGATTAACGCATGTCTGATGATGAACATTGTATGTCAAATTCATCATCCTCTGCAATCAAATAATGGAGCAGATTTCACAAAATGATGGTTATCTCCCTTGAAATGGTACTGGGTGGGTGGGGGAATAATTTTCTCTCAATATTCAGTCTTATACTGTCATAAAAAGATTGAGATGACTAAAAAGCACCATTTTTTCCGAATTATGTGGAATGTGTATATTCTAAATCAACCATTCTCATGCATCATATTTATACACTTCTATATTATGATGTGTTATAATAAATGTGATTACAATGTGATTCAATCCATGTGATTATAAATCTATTCATATGTAATGTGATAAATGATGCTTTTGATCAAATCATTACACACTTAATAAAGATTCATGACAACTACATAACATATAAATTATTATAAATATATTGGGGAATAAAAGGCAACTGTCATGCAAATATACTTATAGGCATAATAAGGTGTATGGGTCAAAAAGGCCACTCCTTTAACTTAAATTGTTTCTTGAAAGAATTTGGGGAAACAATTTGATTGATAATTTTGAGCACAAACTAACCACAGTCATCCCAATTATAAAGATTCCATATGCCTATAAATATATCCAAATATATCTTTTTGACAAATCTGTTAAATAAAAAGAACATACCTCTTCAGCTAGAGTGTTTCTACTTCCTAGAGTATCTTGACTTTTCCGCAACTGAATACTACGAGAAAGTCGGTTACACAAACACACCACTCGTAAAGATTGCTGCAAAAACAGTTAAAGGAGTTGGAGAAAAATTCAAATTACTACAGCACATGCTTTTCAAACTAAATGGCCACACACAAATAATTACATCCAAGTAAAATTATAACTGGAATTCAGATTACTTAAATCGTTTCCTACAAATGCACCTGATGAACCAAAAATTATTGGTGTGAGCACTCAAAGTCTAGCCTGATGATATCATGCAATGATTTACCTGTATGTGTATATCAAAATATCTGAATAAATACAAAATATATGGTAAATAAACTTATATTTTTACCCAATCAGACAAATCTAAGATAAGTTTTAAAAAAGTTGGACAGAAAATTTGTAAGTATTGACTTATAAAATTTACTCATCATACAACAAATAAATTTTACTATAAGACCTGATGAACAAACCCCAAATATATCATTTCATCACTGACAATCTATGTTTATTTAACTTTTAATAAATATCAAATATTTTATCTTTCAAATAATAAACAAAATCCGAGATTGTAAAACATTGCCTTTCAGAAACAAAAAAAAATTGAAACAAGTCATAAGAAAATTCTTATCCTCTCAACCTATATTTTTATTTTATCGATCTTATACCATGTCTTTGCATGTTGAAGAACTCTACAATGTACCGACACTCTAAAACTAAAAACTACACCTTTTTTCATATAATGGGCTTACGGGGAGAGAGATAGAAATGGGGTTTAATGACCACCTGACACAAATAAGGTTATTTCAGGACTAACATATGGCCGAATTTTACTTCAATAATTCAGTGGGCAGAAACCGGTGGACACAGACAAAACCTACTGAGTTGGGCAGGCGACTCTACCTGTTGTCACATACAAGCTTGGCATCAAAACCACGCTACTTGGACTCAATAACAGACTTTATGATCTGAAATGCACTAGACCACACAACCTACCAAATGAGCTTATATTTTCTTCTTGAAACTGTATAAAGCTTAGACACTTTGTGAGGAGGTTTTGTCGATGTAAATATGAGTAAATTCGTAGCTTATGTTTTATAGCGTTTTCTGGTCTGTGGATAAAATATTTGAATTAACAAACCTTCCATCTTTTTCTAGCCATGAATGTCTTCAAGTTGTCAATATTGATAACAGCTGATTTTCTAACATCTTCATGTTGTTTTTCTTTGGGCTAAATATTAACAATAGTTATCATACATATAACACAGAAACAGACCAGAACAGACTGAACAAATTATCAATCTCAAATATTTTCAAAATTGAATCAAGTCATAAATGAATAGAAATAGAATTCACCTTAGATTGTGTTTATTTCATTAACATCAATGCCATGGAAAATTTGTCTAGTGACAACTGAAGTTGTTTAATTAAACTTTTTAAAATTTTATAGTTTCGTTGTCCATTATTCCCAAACCTAAATTGTGCAGATGTGCAGAAAACATAATGTTATTTTATTTATGCTGAAAAGTTAACATATGTGACAATGCGACAGTACAACATAAAGGTATGAATGAATGAAAAGAATGAGGCTTAATGTCCTACTTTTCTGCTTCAACCCTGCTAATTTAGAATGGCAATTTAAGTCAGTAAGAAGATGAGGGATGGATCGCAGTGAAATCAGGAGAGGGACATAGATCTGGGTTCATGTCGGTAACTACTTTGCATTTGGGGTTTTATCGCCCTTTAATTAAGCACTTTGTTCATTGTTCACAGGGAATTAGCCACAACACTGAACAAGGATACTTTTAGAGACACTTTTGTTCGTTCTGAACTCATGTCAAAATAGAAGAAATCCTACCTTTATCCAAGGGTGGTTGAGACAGTCATCAACTTTAGCTCTTTTTCTGAAAAATAAAAAAATAAAACTCAACTCTTTTAATTTTTTTTCAATGAACCATACAAACGAACCATATAACCATCATGGATATTAATTCATTTAATTCAAATACTGGACACCAGTCTTATTAAACTGACATTAAATATTTTATTAAAGAATGGTTCTTTGAAGACAGGAATTACCCATAATTCATCGTGTATGGCACCTCATGGTTACTATGTACGCTATCCTTGTATTAAAGCAGCACTACACAACACAAATTACCCTTTAAGGGCGTTGCCATGGTAACTTCACAATTAATTTTATATTATTTATCAAACTCTGCTCCACATAAATTTGGTATGATCGTTAAATAGACATCTAAAGCTGCGATTCAAGTCATAGTTTGGGCACATATCTCTTGTGGTTTTAGAGATATTCAATTTTTAAATCAGATTAAAAATGATCAATTTTCGTCATAAATCTAAAAAGTTCTCAGTCTTGCCTGATCCAAATTAAATAATTTTTGGCATGCAAATAGCTAAGCTAGTGCTTAATTAAATTACGGGAGTGTTTTTTCATGGTGCCAATAATAAGCCTAAAATTCCAGAAAATCAAAAAATTTCATAGGTCCGTACTTTAAACAGGTCTGAAATAAAATCTATTTCATATAATCACAACTTGTCCCATAGAAATGTTCCTCCGAATGTAAGCTTCAATTTGACACCAAGTTTGTTAAAATCGGTTAAGAAGAACTTGGATTTTTTTCATCGTTTTCATTGGTTTACAAAAAAGGTCCTTTCGAAGCCTGATGTATTCATGTTATAAGTAAAATGCAATATCATGAATTAGCAATCAGTTGACTTTACCGTTCCTCTCAGTGTATTTTATTAAAAATAATATGAGAGCTTCGTCCCACAAAACATCGGCATCTGTCAAAAAGACTGATTATTCAAGATCGAAAGAATTACCCCTAGTCTAGTTAGAAATGACCAAAACACGGCTACAGAAGCATATTTCTATTTCTATTATTCACCGTGACGTTGAGAACAAATTTAGATACTATTTTCAGATCAACCAAGATCAGGGATTCCCTACCTTGGACTGACTATCCTGACCTATTTGGCGAAGTGAACGTTTCTTTCTGTTGAGGATTTATGTTTTTAAGGGAAAAGGAGACAGGTACTAAAGTATCACCGAGAAATAGTTTGAAAAGTTAGTGTGAATCTTAGACATGGCAACGCCCTTAAAAGCAAATAAATGTCGTAAAAAAACGCTAAATAACATATAAGAAATCATATTAAATAGACCCCTAGTAATCAATTTTTTCATTGGCTGAAATACATGTCATATTATTTTATGTACTGTCATTCCAATCATATCTTGTGTAAGTAAATTACAAAATGGCAAGCGATGCCTGTACCACTTCTACTTTAATACTCGTTGCTTCAACAAGTAACCTAGCTGTCACTCTTAATTATCCACGTCACACATTAAATATAAGTACACCAACACTCTTAAATTGATTTTATCCTCACATGTATTTTGATCCATATGAATATGGTGATTTAAAACAGTTTTATTTCTTCGACATCTGCATGACGCAAATTCATATGGATTCCTTCAAGTAAAACATGTACCCAAATCCAATATTTTAATCAATGTAATATAAAGATGTTGAAAAATGTTTTGAATTCTGAAATATCCATAATTAGATACCAAAACACGACTTTGATGCATCTGGACGTACTGGTACGACATTTATTCTATTATTAACCACGTGTTCACACATCCCGACTATATCTACACTAAAAATTATATTTATAAAATACTCTCCTGACCAATTCATAGGCGTACGAAAACAATTATTTTTTCTGCCGATCATCAAATTATTCGGGCAGTGGCCAAATAATGAAAAAATAAATAAAATTTTAGAGGATATATGAAAGGAAAAAATATGAATTTATTCCATCCCGCAAAATGAAGTGCCCGAAATCCTGAACCGTTACAGACTATATTTACACTAAAAATTATATTTCTAAATTACTCTCCTGACCAGATCATAGGTGTATGTATGGGCCCTGGAGCCGGGAAACAATTTTTTTTGGGCCGGTCATCAAATTTTTTGAAGTGGCCAAATGATGAAAACAAAAATTTTAGAGGATATATGAAAGGGAAAATTATGAAAATTATTCCATCCTGCAAAATGAAGTACCAGAAATCCGGAACTTGTTTTACTGAGCAATGGGGTGGTGCAATTCCCAGGCCGGGTCTGGAGTTTCTGAAAATCACACAACTCTGATTTTGATTTAGGGTGTCTAATTCTCAAACTAAAACTGTAATTCCAAAAAATTTGCTACACTAGGCGCTACTTGCGTTTTTTTTTAGATTTAAATACGGTTATTTTGTGGTAAAGTTATGTAGATTCATTTTTCGGGCGCTGCCGTCATATTTTTCCGGCATAAATAATACAGCAGCCCCCCAACCCAACCCGCTTAAAGGAAAATTGGCCCGTACGCCTATGAACCGAATTATTTGATTTTGTTTTATAAATGTTTAGTCTTACGCTTTTTAATTCGAGCCACAATATTTGTCGTGGTGCCATAAATCTTACGGCATTAAATATTAATAGAATTAGATATAGGTCACTTGAATGTCCAATTCATACATGCAAGGTAGCCTACATGTAGAGTCAAACAAATGAAATTAAGGTAATAGGCCTATTTATGGAATACATTACTGTATATAATTGACTGTACTTTAGTAGCCAGGTAAACAAAAGTCTTGCCATACAAGATGACGGACAGTGCATTGTGATAACCTGCATGACATCATAAGAAAACTATCTATATAGACCGTTAAACATACATTATGCAAGAGCTAAATCTGATTATTGCAAGTCTTTATTTAGGCTTCAGATATCACAGAAATTATAAATTAGATCTTTATTTACACAACAAGCACAAAATCAACTCTGTAGACCCACGGATGGCTTGGATTCGGCTTGGATTTAAACATGATTTCATTGATTGATTAAATTTTTTAAATGGCGTCGTAAGCAGAGAGTAACCGTTACGTTGACGTCATACTCCCGGAAATTTCAGATTGAGGCTAAATGATAGAGTGTACGAAGCGAGGCCGCATGTCAGTCAATTTGATTGAAAGTTCGATATATACGGCCTTGATATTATGTTTAGTTGTGGTTAAAATGAGAGTTTGGATGTCGGTATTATATGCTCTTTTGTCACTTGCGTTTACGGAAAATTTATGGAAATTGATAAACATCGCAGGTAACATAACATCACCCCAGTTGAATTGGATCACTGTTTCCTATTTGAAATTTGTCTGCTTCGGGAGTCACGTAGGCCTACCGGTTACAGTACAAGAGTACACACAGGCTAACAAGAAGTTGGCTATAATTATGCCTCATTGAATTGGTCCATTCCTTTCAAACTTTCGCTTCTTATCTATATATTAAAAGTCTTATTTTTAATTTGTAGTAAAAATAAATGTGATACGAATTGAATTGCAACCCTGTCTCAAACCGAATAGGCTAACTGTACCACAGCCATTGAAAACGTTACTTGATAATCAAGATTATGTAGGTGGAGTTAACGCCTGTCAATCAAACGATCAGCCATTCTCGGAGGTGAAGAGAGAGTCAAAAATTACGATGGTGGTAACTTTGTTCAGATTAAAGTAATTTTCAATATATTCTCCTTTCATCATCTATTTTTGAACTGTTATAGCAAGAATGGCCAACTCTCTATTAAAATCTCCCATAATGTATCTTTAAATAAAATTCTAATAATACTAAGATGGACTAACCTGCAGTCTTTGACAAATAATTTTTGAATGAAATCTTTAGCAAGTTCACTGGTCCCAGAAAAATATTCATCATCAAATTCATAAATAATGGCGGTAATATTGTGGTATGTTTCTTGTTTGTTATCTCCGAGAAAAGGTGAGGCACCAGATAATCTGAAAATAAAATATACAATATTTCAAATTTATGATAATCATAACCAGCGGTTGCCATGCAAGATACTCCCACATTTTGCAAGAGATGGATAGAGAACAATCTAAAAACAAAAACATTTTTTTTTTGTACAATCAGGGGTCATAATCCAGGAAATTATGGTCTGCAATGTGCAAATATCGAAAGGGACTGAGATCTTTGGGATATAAAGATATATTTTAAGTTTCATCAAAATCGGATAAAAATTGTGACCTCTAGAAGCTCCACAACCTTCGTATTACATACTTGTACACAATTTGCGTACAAAGAGCAGCCATTTTGTCGGGCAGTTTCATTTCGATTTTCCTGAATTCAACCTTCATTATGGTGGAATGGTGATATATTTAAATGGTTTCATCAAAATCGGATAACAATTGTGACTTTTAAAGAGTCCACAACCTTGGTATGACATACTTTTACACTATTTGCATACATAAGGAGCGCCATTTTGTCAGGCAGTTTTGGTTTGACTTTCACAAAATTAGAACTCAACCGTCATTAGGGTGTAACGGTGATAAATTTAAACTTTTTTTTTAAAATTGGATAAAAATTGTGACCTCTAGGGTCAACAAGATAAAAACATGATTTTTTGTACAATCAGGGGCCATAATCCAGAAAGTTACAGTCTGATATGCGCAAATATCAAACAGAACCACGATCTTTGGATTATAAACATACATTTCAAGTTTCATCAAAATCGGATAAAAATTGTGACTTCCAGAGTGTCCACAACCTTGGTGTTACATACTTTTACACTATTTGAGTACAGGGACCGGCCATTTTGTCAAGCAGTTCTGTTTCGATTTGAGCAATTATCGAAAGGAACCAATATCTTGGTAATATAAACATAAATTTAAAGTGACATCAAAATTAGATAAAAATTGTGGCCCCTTGATATAGCATACTTTTACAATATTTGCATACAAGGGACAGCCATTTTATCCGTCAGTTTTGGTCCGATTTTCACGAAATTTGAACTCAACCATCATTAGGGTGCAACTGCGATATATTCACATGTTTTTTAAATTGGATAAAAATTGTGACCTCTAGAGGGACCAAAAGCTAAAACACGATTTTTCGTACAATCATGGACCATAATTCAGGAAGTTACGATCCGATATGCACCAATATGGAAAGGAACCAAGATCTTTGGGTTAAACATGTACATGTATTTCAAGTTTCATCAAAATCGGATCAAAGTTGTGACCTCTAGAGTGTCCATAAACTAAAATTGTCATCTTTCGAACAATCAGAGACTATAATCCATGAAGTTATGGTCCGATACATGCCAATATCGAAAGGAACCAAGACATTTTGGAGATAGACCTATATTTCAAGTTTTGTAATTACCTTGATGTCTCCTGTAGGTGGTGAACAGATTCTACTAAAGTCTACCCAAAAAGAACACAGTAAGACCAAATTATCATTTTCAACAAACAACAGTTTCTTTTCGTCATGTTTAACTTTATTCAATCAGATTCATTATAGCCAAAAGCACATGCATATATCATATAGAGTGAGAATCTGGCCAAAAAGTGTCTCAGCAGTAATTGGCTAATCATGGCAGCCACTTGACATGGTGGCCCCTTGTAGTTCTTGCAGGAAATACCAAATTTTATTGTTGATGAGCATTTTATTTTGGCCAAATAATTCAATTATGATATGTAATTATTGAATTTCTTTATTATCAAATTTCATCGATATTGACGAGAACAATAATGATAGCGAAATAACACATTTTATTTTCAAAATGAGGATAACTGCAATGGCAACCTACTAATTTATTCCTTCAAATTATTTAACATATATTTGATGTTGTAATTTGGTTATAAACGTGCTTAATATTGATTTATTGTCAGTTATCATCAACTTTTTGAGGACTCTAAATGTAATTGAAAATATACAAAAAATAACTACATGTATCATGGCAACAGAATTTTAAACACAATCATGTTACAAACTTTATGACAGAGATGCATATATATCATGTCAGTTCCAAAATGACCTAGTTTGTATTGAGCAGATGTTCATATTTCTTTCTTTCCCCTATTTTTTTTGATATGCTGGTAAATGTAATTCAATCATAATTTATAATCAAATCATAAGTGAAAAAAATACAAATAGTATAGAATTTCAGAAAGTATTAAAGAAATAATTCAAGATCACTCATCAAAATTTAACATTTGAAAATAATCTTGCACAGTAATATAGTATGGGTGTGAAATGCAGAAATTTAAAGGCAGATATAAGCATTGGTTCTTCTTTCAATGTAATTCACATGTGGAAGCAATTTAACCAACATTTAACATAATACAGAATTAATAAGCTTAAAGCGTAGAGATAATAAAATTCAAGACATTGGGTCATATTGCCATCTCCAAATAACATGTGAACATGTACATGTAGCAATGGCATACCATTCCTACCAGGTTGTAAATAGTTAAAGTGACATGCAGATCTCTTAAATAGTTTCACAGCCTTCATATTTGAATGGAGGATAACTCTTGTGACCAAGCCTTGCAAATTTGAATAAGATAGGTTTCCAGGCGATAAAACATACACGGATACTAATAGCAGTTAAGTTGGATGGACAGGGGTGACAACAATATATGACCATATATATATATCTATATATATATTTGTGACTGTCGTTTGTCTGTCTGTCTGTCTGTTCGGGGTTGGCGGCTACACTAGGTCTTCCCTCGAGTCTGAAATTTGGGGTATAGGGTTAGCTCGGACCGGGGAGTAACATAGGCCAGGTGGCGTTAGTCTACCACTTCCGGTTTCGGAGTTATGACTCCCGAGCGAAGCCAGTCTGTTCGGGGTTGGCGGCTACACTAGGTCTGCCCCGAGTCTGAAATTTGGGGTATAGGGGTAGCTCGGACCGGGGAGTAGCATAGGCCAGGTGGCATTAGTCTACCACTTCCGGTTTCGTAGTTATGACCCCCGAACGAAGTCTGTCTGTTCGGGGTTGGCGGCTACATCTGCCCCGAGTCTGAAATTTGGGGTATAGGGGTAGCTCGGACCGGGGAGTAACATAGGCCAGGTGGCGTTAGTCTACCACTTCCGGTTTCGGAGTTATGACCCCCGAGCGAAACCGGTCTGTTCAGGGTTGGCGGCTACACTAGGTCTGACCCTAGTCTGAAATTTGGGGTATAGGGGTAGCTCGGATCGGGGAGTAACATAGGCCAGGTGGCGTTAGTCTACCACTTCCAGTTTCGGAGTTATGACCCCCGAGCGAAGCCGGTCTGTTCGGGGTTGGCGGCTACACTAGGTCTGCCCCGAGTCTGAAATTTGGGGTATAGGGGTAGCTCGGACCGGGGAGTAACATAGACCAGGTGGCGTTAGTCTACCACTACCGAGCGAAGCCGGGTATCCTGCTAGTAGATATATATTTTAATGTAGGCGAATAAAAGTCTGTAACAAATTTTGACAACGGACTGACAGACGGATGAAGGTAATGACAACATATGTCCACATTACATGTATATATATGAACATACATATAAGGTACCTAACCAAACTGGTATGGAAGTGTCTCATTAATACATATGAAAAGTTTGTACAAACTGCATGCAATTGCCAACTTTAAACTAATCTGATGTAAGGTTTTCAACACACTGATAAAAGTATGGTGTGTTATTACATGCAGACAGATGTTTTTTCTTTCAGTAATTTTCAAGCTAAGAACAGGATAGTCTTTTCAATCTGTAGTTTCGTATCAAATTACACTGTTTTGAAATGGGATAAGACAGAGGGAGAAATGGGGTTTAACCTCATCTCGACACAAACTAGGTCATTTCGGGACTAACACATGGTTCAACTTTATTTCAATAATTCGCTTGCATGTTGGGGTCTTCAGCAGTGGGAGGAAACCACAGCACCCGGAGAAAACCGAGGATGGACAGGCAAGCCTACTCCTTGTCACATACAACCGGGGAATTGAAACCGAGTCAAATGACTCAATGACAGACCTTATGATACAGCGCGCACGTGCTAACCAGGGCCGTAACTAGCTCAGAGCAACAAGGGGGGCGTGAAGTATTCTCAGGGGTGCTGTAAAATTGACGGAACTGTATATCTAGGTTTCTTTTATGGTCGTCAATTTTTTCACAAAGGGGGGGTGGGGGGAGGGGCTTTGCTAACCATGTACATGTAGCCTACACATTGACATTCAAGTAAAAGAACCCTTGACAGTTGGAATTTGAAAAAGAGTAGGCAGTAGCGCCGCTGTCCAGGCAAAATTACCGCTCTGTCCATAATTTTTCATATAAAAATATTTTGATAGCTAGGCCTGTCAATCATCCAAAGATTGGCTCATAGACTGGTTTAGCTAGACGAATTTCAAATCGAGGGCACATAACTGATTTTGCACTGATAAATGGCCATATGGGGAGCTATTAGGACACTAATTGTAATATCACTTAGTGTATTTGAAGTCCACTTTTAAATGGATACATGTAACTGTTTAAATGGATAAAATGTTTTAAATACATGTCCATTTTTCTAGGGAGTGAGAAATGGGGGTAACTAAAGTAATGCTTGTCATATATGGGTGGCATGGTTATCATTATATCTTGACATTGTTTTTATCGTGAGGTATGCAACCACTGTTTAAGCGGTGATATGATCTCTAAATGGCTCTATGTACACAGTATGCAAAACTGAAACCAGCAATTAGCGAACAAAACTATTTCCGCTAAACAAAAATTTTGTCATACTTTATATAGAGCTTGCTCATCACAAATTGAAATAACTAAATAAAACAGGTTTAGCATGTTTAAAGATACATTAGTTAAGAATTTAATAAAGAGTAGGCCATTCTTGCTACAATACTTCAAAAATAGATGATAAAAAAAAAAAATATTGAAAATTTCAGTTCAATTCCTTTATTCTGAACGGAGTTGTCACTGTTGGAGGTTTGGACTAGAAATAGGCATCAACTGTGTCTGCACCATCTACG